CAGCCGCCTTCGGCTCTCGGGTCCCGCCAGCGCCTCCCCAGCGTCATGGATGGCGTCATACACGGGCCGTTGCCGAGGCAACCGGTTCCTCGCGCCCGCCCCACTCCTGCTCCCGAGGGCCCGAGGAAAGCGGGCCAAAGTATTTAAAATGTTATTTAAAAAAAATAAAAATGCCCACCCAAATCAGAGAAATTAGGGACTATAGATAGATAGATAGATAGATAGATAGATAGATAGATAGATAGATAGATAGATAGATAGATAGATAGATAGATAGATAGATAGATAGATAGATAGATAGATAAATAAAGCAAGCATCGCACTGTGGGGCCAGACCTATCTGGTTCTGTATTTGCACCACAAATCTGCAAGGTTGATTTTAAACTGGGAGCCAGTCCCTCTTCCACAGCAGTGTAGTGAAGATCTGTGACTGTGGTTTTAAAGTCAGGTGTTCTTGTAAATCCAACATTTTTGAATACCTATACCTACAACCACAACCCCAGAACTTCTCTATAGGTTTGTTTTGGAGGGGAACATGTATGCCAGTTCGCTGTGCTGAACGATACCCTGATGTTTCAAATTTCCATCTGTTCTGTATGATGAACACTGATGCCAGACGTGGGAACTGTAATCTGTGGTTTGGCAACCTTTTTTTATTGTGAAGGCAGGGGGGAACACACATTTTACCAAAGCAGAAGGCCACACCTAGATTCCCTAATAAGGAGATCTGCAGATTTACCAGTTTAAAATGTGAGATATTCTGCTTTACTTCTATGTATACAAATTGTTGCTGAAGATATAGTCTAATATTGAAACGTGTCTTGTCCTGCAAAATGCAGGAATCCTGCCCCACATACTTAATAAAATAGACAAATTATTCTGAGGGACATCTCTCACAGCCGTTTTCCACATGCAACTCAGTAAGTTCAGTTACAGTGCCAGAGATTGGGAATTCAATTCACCTGAAGTGCTGACTTCTAATCATGTGCCTAAATAGTGAGGTGGCCTGAACATCGTTTATTAAGCATTTGGAATAATGCAAATTGCTGCAAAAAAGAGACACCAGCATCACACATACATATATCATAATAGCCTCCATCTTCTGGCCAGTCAATGGGGTCAGAATATGTTCCTTCACTTCTGCAGACCCCAATCAACACTTTGGTTTTCACTCAGCTAAAGCAACAGAAGCAGATGTTAGAGATAGACCATGACCTGGAAGACCATGACATTTTTTACCATTTGGGATTGCAGCCTAAAGGCATTAAACAAGGAGGAAACATGCCAGATTTTTCTTAAAATGCATAGCTCTAAGCTATAGGTTTTAATGGCAAGAACTATTAAGAGCACAAGACTTCTGGCAAATCTTTATACCACACACCACTAGTTCTTTACAGCTGGAGTAAAGATATGGAAAACTCCAGTGAAATTTGGCTGAATTTGGTGTCATTTGGAAATACTAATTTGTGCACTTTCACTTCCCCTCTTCAAAAGCCCTTGGAATACACAGAAGGGTTTTTAACCCAACGAAAGTGTTCTGCTATAATTTTTTTAATGACACCTGACTTCTGTTAAATTGGCCATTTTTATGTATATGAATACGCCTTCAGGACCAGTAGATGGAAGCTAAATGAGGAACCTTCATTCCTTAAAGAACACGAAGTTAGTGAAAGCTGAAGCTGGCTGGAGTCTGAACAGCCCATCTCATAGCAATAGAACAAACTAGTCAGTCTGTCAGAACTTTTATTAGCATAAACTAAAAATCACATATACAGGATAACAACAAACTATTAATTAACTGAATCTATAAATTCATTATGTCTCAGTCTGCAGTCTCACAGGTTCAAAAAGGCTGTCACATTCTTCACTATAATAAATGACTCTCCTGTTGAGAAAATATACAGTACCTCCATGTGTTACTATCCAGACAGCTCCTCTTCTTGAACAAAAATGGATCTAAATATTTTCTGCAGAGATCCATAGAGAATGGACCATACAAAATCATGTGAGAGAGTGACTCCGCCCCACTCAGCTTGCAGGAGCATTTCTTCTCGCTGTATGGAATCTCCTATACAGCATTGCCAATGGAATGGCATTGCATCTTGCAAGGCTAAAGGCCCTGCATTCCAGGGTATTCTAGCAGGTAAAGATACTGTGCTGGTTGGCAATCTGCAGGCTTATCGGCACACAGGTCTTATTTGCAGCATTCTGCAGTTCCTGTGCTTGTTTGTCCAACAGCCTACATTTTATCATTTGATATGCTTCCAGTTGGGACTTTGAACCCAGGGAGTCCATTGTGACGCTCATCGGTCTAATTTTCTCAACCAAATTAGATGAGCCTATGGGGGCATCCTCTAGAAGTTGTAGTAGACTCTTAACCCTCTAGCAAGGGTTGACCTGCTTCTAAACACAGAGTGGCATAAGAGACACATCTTGGCATCCCGTAAGAATGAGGCTTGGATCCATTCCATTGAGCAGTCCATAGCACTCGTCCACATGGGAACTCGATAGAACACTTGCAGCATAATTTTGGCATTAAACAAGAGGCACTGTTAGATAAAAATTGTCTCTGTTAAAATGGAAATGGGCAATGGCCTGCACTGTCACCTTAGCACAGCGATGGCAAACCTATGGCATGCGTGCCTCAGTTGGCATGTGGAGCCCTTTCTGCTGGCATGCAAGCCATAAGTCGCTGGATCGCTACCCCCCCCCTGCACAGCCAAATCTGAGAAGGTGGCTCTAGCCACGGTGCTGCCGCTTCGGCAGGCGGATCCAAAGTGGGGTCTTGAGGCACCTCCGTGCCAGGATTCCTCCTTCCGCTGCCACTTCCAGTTCTGCTGACGCCACTTCCAGTTCCAACGCAGCACGCTGCCCACTGGGTTCCCCCCCCCAGTTTGGACACGCGACCCCAAAAAGTTTTGCCACCACGGCCCTTGCAGAACTCAATATTGCTTTGCAATGCTGAAACAGGTGTGTTTGTAGTAAAACTGTATACCTAAATATTTAAATTGCTTAACCTGTCCAATATTATTTTCCTTGAATGTCCAACTGAATAATTTCCATTTTTGGCAAAAATCATGATTTCAGATTTGCTATAATTCAATTGGAGTTTATTATTTGATAGGTGCTCCGTGCAACTGTTGATTAATCGTTTAAGTCCTTGGCGCGTCTGAAAAAGGATTACAATATCATCTGTAGGGGCTAGCACACAGTCCTGTTTTACTTCCCTGTTGAGAAGACTCTCTGGAAAAGACCCTGATGTTGGGAAAGTGTGAGGGCAAGAGGAGAAGGGGACGACAGAGGACAAGATGGTTGGACAGGGTCATTGAAGCGACCAACATGAATTTGACCCAGCTCCGGGAGGCAGTGGAAGACAGGAGGGCCTGGCGTGCTCTGGTCCATGGGGTCACGAAGGGTCGGACATGACTGAACAACAAACAACAAATCATCTGTGTAAAGCAATATTGATACATGGTGTGGTCTGAATTTAGGGGGTGTGACACAGTCTACTCCATCTAGATAGGGGGCTATGTCATTTTAAAAAAAGGTTGGACAATGTACGGGCTAGCACACAGCCCTGTTTTACTTCCCTGTTTGCTAAAATTTGCTTGGATAAGTGTGCGTCTGAAGAAAGTCTAATCTGACAAGTAGTACTGGAGTATAAGTTTCTAATGAGATAAAGCAATCTTTTATCTATGCCTAAATTGTACAGTTTGTCCCATAACAGTGCTTTTTCTACTGAGTTGAATGCGCCCTTCAGATCCAGAAAGGCCACATGAAGCTTAGCGTTGTCCACCTTTATCTGTTTATTAATAAGATGTGACAAAATAAGGCCATGACAGCATCCTTCAGTCTCAAGAGACTATGGTATCGTGCTCTGTATGGAGGTCTTGGAACAGTGTCTTGTGTGGCTGAGAAGGCCAATTCGAGAGTGACAATCCCTTCCACACTGGAGACAAATCCAATCTGTCCCCTGTCCAGCTCCCTGGTTTTGCTTGTTTCGGGACTGCCTCTTTGCCTCGGTGTGCTGTACAAGTGTCTCTTCAAATTGGGAGAGGCCATGATGCACCGCCTGCCTCCAGGCTGAACGCTCAGACGTCAAGGTTTCCCATCTGTTGAGGTCCATTCCTAAGGCCTTCAGATCCCTCTTGCAGATGTCCTTGTAACGCAGCTGTGGTCTCCCTCGGGGGCGGCTTCCCTGCACTAATTCTCCATACAGGAGATCTTTTGGAATCCGACCATCAGCCATTCTCACGACGTGCCCAAATAAGATGTGACAAAATAAGGCCATGACCTAGCATTGAGTTGACCAGTCTGAAACCTATTTGTTCTACACCCAGTAATATCTGATTCCTAATCCAATGGTTGAGTTTATTTAATAAACGTTTTACGTATAATTTGCCAATGATAGATAATAGGCTGATAGGTCTGTAGTTATCTGGTGATCGATGCTCTCCATTTGTATAAATAGAGACAATACAGTAATTGTTTTGTCTATCATTGAAAAAAGGAGGGCCAGAAGCAACACCCACCAATCAGGACCAGATTTTAGTAAATCCAGTGGAAAGAACAAACTAGAAGGATCAATGTTCTGAATCCCAGCACTTGCTAGTTCAAACCATTCATAGTAGAAGCACATCTCTATACATAATAAATGGCCACGCTAGATCTGATTCAATTCATCTTGCCCAATAGTAGTTAGTCAGATAAAATCAAGAAGCCCATAAAAATATTGATACTATTTTATTATTATATTGCTTTGGTGATTTTAGTATTGTTTTAACTCACTGTTTTTTTTTCCCTTTTTCTTTCATCATCAGAGGTATGGCCACAGC